TCCATTTGTACATTCGTAGTGGCGTTTGAATGCGATGTGGCCTATACAATGACTTGCGGGGGCCAGCCGATGTACAAGTCAGTGTTTTTATCCTCCCAGACAAGTCTGGTACCAATTAACCGACCCCGGAGGGATGGAAGGCTTGGTTGGCCCGGGCGACTCACGACCCAGGATTTGATCCCGGACCGCTCGCGTGGTAAGCGTGCCACTTGCCACTACACCACTTCCGCCCCTGACATCTCATAGTTAAATGTGAGTCGTCGTACCAGAAAGTTCTGCTATGTTATGAACTTTTGAAGTAGAAGAGTGGTTCAAGAGTGCATTCAATAACAACATTTTACAGTGTTGTCAACAATTACGATAACAAAATTGTGCCGCTAACACTTTTCGGTTCCAAACATCTGAAACTTTCCATTTATATCCTATGTATTCATTTTGATAAGTTAGTGTTACACCGTTTTCGTACATAAAAGGATAAAGGATAAAGCATTTGCCGTTGATCAATCCCTTTTTGGGATGCGGCACGCATTCTACTTCCATTTGTACATTCGTAGTGGCGTTTGAATGCGATGTGGCCTATACAATGACTTGCGGGGGCCAGCCGATGTACAAGTCAGTGTTTTTATCCTCCCAGACAAGTCTGGTACCAATTAACCGACCCCGGAGGGATGGAAGGCTTGGTTGGCCCGGGCGACTCACGACCCACTTCCGCCCATTTCGTCACAAAAACACAATTTCGAATGGACAATCTCTGAACTCTCGGAAACAACCACTACTTCGCTAAGACGAGCTGTTTGATTGTGTTACAGTGCATTGCACGATTCAGAGGTTCCATAAAATTCGCCATACTGAGCCAAATAAGCTATCTTTCAACACCTATTGGTCTCGATGTGAGAAGATCGCTTCTGTGACTCCACGAGCGATTTCTTGAGATCAGCGTGAAGATGCGCCGCTGGAAGTCAGCTGGAAGTCAGCACCTTTATCCGTCGTCTTGGTCGCTCAGACTGCGTAAATCCTTGCAATGTATTGTGCGCACCAACAGGAAGGTTTGCAAGCATGAAAATGTCTAACTCTTGCTCTATGTGCCGTGGGACCGTAACGAGTTTCATTTATCGGTCTTCCTCCATTATGAGAAGATGTTCTGTTGTCGCGAATAAGAACGGGACCAAGCATAGGCAGGAATCATTACATTGGAGAACACCTCTCTATGTTACAGGATTAAAGCTGATTATACAGCACGGGAGCAATACGAAAATCTTCAGTTTTTGGTTTGTACTATCGAACAGAGAGGACGTTTACTAAAAAAATAGCGGCATCGGGAAAGATTTGTCATCGATCGCCATTTAATTATTCGCAGATTGTCCAAAAATTGAATGCAATACATAGAATATCGCGGTTCATCTTATCAAAGAAGAGGCAGCATGACTTTTCCTGCTGGAGCCATATGAAGGTAAAATGCTTCCGTATTGATGCCTAAAGCAAACCTCTGCCACAAGCACAAAGCAGAAATACGGATTAAACGAGCAGTTGCTCTTGCAAGCCTTGCATCTACCCGACAATACTTACCCACACAACAAGGTCGGTGACGTTCCAGGAAGTCTATGTGTATGTATCAACGCAGAAACGGCCACTCCAAGGTGGTTTCCTGCCCCCATAACCTTTCGTCATTATGATGGTGTTGTTAATCAAGAACTTTCCGCCGTTTTTTTAGGACGGCTTTATCTTGTTACCGTAATTTCTGCCCATCAATAGAAAATCTAACCTGTATGAATCGAAAGACCAAGAGATAGCGAAGGCCCAGGTAGGCAGCAGTTGGCAGTAAAGCAGTAGAAACTACAGACATCATTCCCGATACGAAAAATGGCCATCTAGAAAAAATGCTAATTTTTTACCAATGCAGCGATTAATTAGGCCAAAGCAGCCAACTGAAATGACATCTACTGTTTAATATGCATCTTGAGACGTTGAAGCCAAATCTGCTTTTTTTTTACCTGCCAAACTTTTATCTGACAAAATTTTTGCTGTCTTCGCAGTAGTCTCAGTCTTGTCTGTAGTAGCATGAAGCGCTCTGGATGGAACGGTGCACTCGACGTTCTTGTCGCAATAGCGCAATTGGCCGCTGTCCAGCTTATCAAGCAGGAGCTCATGGGATATCAATTTCTTGCAGAGTTTCCTATTTTGCTTTTTTCTCCAACATAGCTAGAAAGATTCAATGCGAAATAAAAAATACGCTAGTTCACGGACGGTTGCCTGTAGCTGCATGTCCGAAGAGTTTGTGAGCAGTTCCTCATAACCTCATATTTCAAGCTCGTCCTGAGCCTCCTAGCATGAGTGCCCATTAGTGCCGGTAGCGCGGCTTGCCAGCTTTTCCGCGGCAAGCGAGTGTGATAACCGCATTTAGGGGGCCAAGCTACTCTTAGCTGAGAATGAGGAATGGGCCTAATTTAGAAATGGTATGGCCAGTCATGGGGGTTACTTACCGATCATATACATAGTCGAGCAATCATGGACGACGGGAGGAATGGGTAAGGGGAGGGGGTGCTTGAAAATATGCCTTGTAGGCCTTGAAATGACGTAAGCACACAATCAAACATTGTTCTTGTCTTTTGTGAAGACGGTTAGTGAAGGTTAATTTCATCCAAGTGCTATCATTCGGTAATAAGTCGATGGGTACGAGAAAGAACTCCCCGTTTTCCGAGGTTGGACAACCTTTCAAAATCGATTACGAATTCGTCTTGGGGGAGAGGGAGGGAGGATGAGGAAGAGGAAGAGAAAAGTTCAACTCACTCCTTGATTTTGAATATCGCACCTATTCAGCGCGAGAACGCCTGCCTTGGGGGAGGGGGAGGGAAGGGGGGGACGCCGCTGCAGTCATAGTGGAATATGCTAATTTTGGAAGCTGTACGATGGAGTACTGGTACAAGGTACTGGGACAAGTGCTGCCTCGACTAGTAGTGATGTTTACTCTGTCTACTATGCAACCGAAACCTCAACAAGCACAACTGCTAGGAGTCGTCGTGCGACTTCTGGGCTAGGATTCCAAGCCACTGCCTCTGTGTTTTTCAACTTTAATGCCAGTTAGGTGTGCTCAGCATCTCAAGTAGCACATAGAGCTGCAAACGCAACTGCAACCTTGCAGAAGCGTGATTCTTTCAACCAAGCAGTTCAAAATCAAGACATAAATCTATCACTCACAGGGTGCACCAAAGGTGTCCTTGGACGGCTATGTACTCCTACAATTTCAGAAATTGACTATACCTCGCTCCAGATCTGATATACCAATAGTTGATGGGCACTGTTCCGACTATGGTACCGACCGCCACAGCCCATGTAATTTCACTCTTTTCTAGCGGAGTATACTCATAGCGACCACGAAATGACTGAAATAATTCAACAACAAATTAAATGCTGTAAATGACTAAAAAAACTTTTTTTCTGCTGAGTCTGAGTGCTTTCCATTTTTGTTATTTATAGAAGCCTGAAATGGCCAAGATGCTATTCTTATATCTGCGGTAAAGATAAATTGATATGTTGCTATCAGATTATTTGTTAGGAAGGAAGGACATTACTCCAGATGCCCTACGTTTGGAAGCTGCTGGTTAGTCCTTTCATGAATGGTTCCCAAAATCCGAAGCGCAGAGATTACTTCAACAAGACCGAGGGCACCAATGGGCTAAGAGGCTTGTCGCGAAGTATTTGGCATTTTTCACACCTAGACATGATCCGTCCTGCGGTTAAATGATCGGAAGAATTCGTCCTGCACGCCTCCTACAACGCTTGAGATTGGTAAACCTCTTGGTAGCAATTATCTCAACCCTGGACTCGTGTTTCGTACCGCCGAGAAAATATGGTGCAGATAAAGAAATGGCAAGCACTACTTGTGCTGCAGTTGAACATTCTTGACTACGAGCAGGTCATTATCAGGACCTATGTGCTAAACTATCCCTTTTCCAGGATTTATTTGACTCGCTCGCCATACGCTGCGGCAAAATTGCACTGCTGGGATGGGAACCGTCGACGGACTACTTGAACTCAGCCCTTTAAAGCCTCCTCTGCGCTCTCTCGCGGGAGTCCCTCTCCTCTCCAAGGCTTAGTCCTGGGGCATTCACCCGTTCTCTAATCGTCTGTGTTCTAGCCATCGCGGCAGGACCATTATAGGAAAAATCAAGTAGTCCGTAAACCGTGGGATGACGATTGCATGACAGTATCCAATTTACAGTAGGAATGCACCAAATGTGCCCGCACCCTTGAATTATCTAATATTCCTTACCCTTTCACAAGTGGTTACTGTTCCAAAAATAAGAGTTAGGGAAGTAGAGCGCTCTCTGGTTCAAATCACACATACGAAAGGCCCTTTCTGAGGGCCAAAGTTCATTTTGGCTCTCACTCTCTTCAAGAACACAGAAGTATGTTTGAAAGTTCAACTGTAAACGAACTCCATTTCCAGCGGCGATTTGTTCCGCATCGTCGTTGACCATGCAAATGAATGTGAAATTGATAATAACGTAATTTGAACAGACGGAGGTCAGACACATAAGGCCTAAGCACAGAATCACATAGCGAAAACGGTTCGCACAAAAACACGACGGTAGCGGCATTCCCTGAAAGAACACAGTAAATAACTGTGGGAATGTCGAGTTCGAACTGTTTATGGAAAATGAAGATTTGAACTGTTTGACATGCCATTTTCATGGGTCAAAGACTAGCTTTCAATAAACAGTAGACAGACGAAATTGGAAGGTATTAAGCGTTTTGTGTATTAGGTACCGGATATCTTAGTGTCGTTTTTTCACCACGAGTTTCGGACCACCAATATTTTAATTCAGAATCCGGGGAGTGAAACAGCATATTCATCGAATGACTCATTAGCACTTTCCCATTTACCAGTATGAGTGGAAACCTCGTACGATTAAAGCTAGGAATTTTTTGAGTCGAAAAAGAGAGGTAGGTCGGTTTTGACATCATCTGACAAATCATCCCTCTCACTTGCTAAAAGTTAGGCCTGGACAAAAGAAGTATACAGTTAGTTAGAGTAGGGTCTGCACTGTATGGTGGAAAAGTTAAACTTACCAGCTCAACTGGACAATTTTTCCCGGAGTCTTTTTTGCCACATAGGGTCAAAAACGCACCCTTTTTGAGCACACGTGAGTAGCAGATGAGCACATTTATTAGAATTTCTTGTGCAATCAACTTCGTTAAAGCGTTTGTGCATCATCGATCAGTCACTGCTAAGGTGTCCTACCATTTCAGCACAAGACTGGTGCAGCCCCGTCTCGACTGATTTAACTAGGGCCACCTTTTTGACGACGATTGCGGGCATCACTTCAAAGACTTCACTGTCTTTTGAGAAAACTGTGAAAAACCGATGAGCATTTTAAATGGTAGTATTCCCTCCAACAAATGCAATGTTGGTTTGGTGGGCGGAAGTTGTAGCTCTCAGCAAGAATTTTGAAGCATTTGGTACACACATGCGAATTTGCACACTGGACCCAGGAATTTTCAAAAAAAGTATAAAAATTGGGGGAAAGTTAAATTGTGAACCAACAATAGAAAACAATAAGCAACATATTTCGCAAGTATTAATGAGCAAAAAGGACTTTCTGAGATATTGATTTTCCCACAGTAATTCGTCTACTAAAAACTCCGAACTCCAGAAAAGCGGATCCCTAAGAAGATCCCGGTACCTAATTCATTGAACTCTTTCAATGCTAAATATTCAGCAGCAGCTCAAAGTAGTCCAATACCGTGACAATGTTATAAACGGAAACTACCAATAAAATGTTTCACAAGTCTCGCACTGGGTTTTAGCTAAGCTTGTCCGCCCGCCAGAAACAGGGTACTCACTACCCACCTTTTGCTTCCCCGGGGCACAAAGTGGAGCGCTGCCATTGCCCATCATTATTCTTGTTCCGTAAATCTTCATAGAATAAGGGTAAAGCAATTTGCCGTTGATTCATATCCTTTGGGACCGCGATTTCTGCCTAACCAAACCAGGACATCATTTCCTTCTAACTCAGCTTTTCATGGTACATACCATCGCTTGTATGCTAAGCAAAATATGCGGGTTCGAGTCCCGTCTGGGGCGAAAGTTTTGTTCACAACCCAGCATTCTTGTGAAACATTCGCAAGGCGAACTGCGGCCAAAAACAGCAGTTAACAAACAAAAACAAGTCAAAATTCAAATCATTGTTGAATACTCTAGGACAAGCCGTCGACAAAGCTCTGGACTGACTAATTGGCTTTATTCATGCTTTTATTGCTTACCAACAAACTTTTCAATGAAACAGCTGACAGGTTTGTTGTTGAGTTGAGAGCACTACTTCACTAGACGTGATCCCGGATAATATTATGGGACATTCCACATAGAAAAACTTCACTGCTCAACAGCTGTGCACAAATTTTTAAAGATTGTTTGATGCAGGTAGGTAGCGATCGGAGGTGACGTCGATGGGTCTGACAAGGAAGGTCTTTCAGGGTGTGCCAAGCTTTTTCAAAACGGTCTTTTGCATGATATAGGGGCACATGCGGGAACCACAGAACCATGGTTAATTTTTCCTGAACGGCCCTCTGAATACCAGAAAAGGGGGTCCCTAGTCACACCTTTTTCACCAGTTTTTCAATCAAAGTCTATTTGTAAGGGTTACTGACGGTCCTAATCATGAATATGGTACTAATTATTCATGCTAACTCCATTTTGCGCGAATTTTGAAACTCGAAATGCAAAAATTTGTCACCACGAGGAATCGAACTAGGGACCCCTTTTCTGGTATTCAGAGGGCCGTTCAGGAAAAATGAACCATGTTCTGTGGTCCCACATGTGCCCCAATGTCATGCAAGAAACCATTTTGAAAAAGCTTGGCACACCCTGAACGACCTCCCTTGTAGTGAAGGGTAAAGGAAGCGAGATAGGGAAGTCCCTGGTTAAACTTGACAATTCACTTTTTCGCAGCTGTTCCGGGCACATATTCAAGTGGGTTGAAAGGTAAGACATTTGAATGACTCTTATCGATGGCCAGCTGCCGACTCGACGTCCTTGTATTACAAGTGAAGGTCCATGCACTGTACCAAACCAATTCGATAGCCCACACCGTGCATATTTTTTTTTATTTTTGAGAAGCTTCCGACCTTTTTCATGTACCAAATAGGCACCATAATATTACGTAGCTAATCAAAAGATAATTATAGAGTTAATGAGCAGATTATTTTTTTCCAAGAAAATTAGAAAAGAAATGTTTTTGAACCGGCAGCATTCGGGAATCACAAAATGTATCGATTCAGACCGAAAACTATTACCTTCAAAAAAGGTGTGCGCTCCGCCATCGTAAAAAAGCCACGGAAAGAACTTCGACCAATTGCAGTGAGTATGGGAGCTGTGCAGGGATACAGACGGATTATCAATGTGAAACTGGTTGGATATGAGCTGTTATGAAAATACCAATGAACACGAACAACAGTAGACAATTTAATGACCTAAAGTGTTATGACACCTGCACAGGATTGACGCTAATAGGAAACTCTCTGCACATTCGCCTGCACTCTCCAGAAGTGTAAACAGTAAACAAGATTTCAATGTTGCCGCTAACAAAAAAAATTCTGGATAATATTGGGTGAAACTCCAGTTCGGGGGGGGGCCACTCCATTTTTTCTCCAATACTCAAGATAAGGATTAGAACACGACACGTAATCGACTCATTTAAAGTAGACTTCTGATAAGTATCGGTGTAATGTGGAAGAAACCCTGAGATGATTTCACATTTCCGCCTGCCATGGTCCAAGGGAACGGTCCTGGACCAGGAGAATGGACACCTCTGCCTAGGCTAAGGGTGAGGAGCTCCAGGGTGGATCACCTGTGCAGAAAAGTGGATGGGATGTGGGCAGGATGTGTGGAATGTAGGACATCCACCGGTCCTTATCAAAAGTACGCTTGAAATGAGTCGTTTACTTGCTATCTTATCCATAGTGTTGGATAGCCCAAAGAGTGCTCTCTAGTAACTGTGGATAAGATAGCAATGGAGTGCCCCCCCCGAACTGGAGTTTCACCTAATATTGGGCTGTTCGGAAAGGTTCCACCGTTTTTAGTAACTCACATGTAAACGCTTCGTATCTGGATCACTTCTGGGGAAACTGCCACCACTTTGTAATTATTAAAAATCACGTCTCTCGCTTTGTCTAAATCCAATGACACTTCGACCCTGATATACCCTTCTCCTCTTCTCTGAAGTCTTGAAATAAACACACTAAGCTAGCCGTTATGCGTGAGTTTTTTGTTTCCTCTCAAATCGGGTCGGGAAAGTGCTGAAGCAAGTCGCAATGTCAACTAAGCATCCAAATCCGCGAAAAAGTCGATGTTCAGACGTGACTCAAAATTTTTTCTCATTGCTGATAAAAGTTTCGAAGAAGATTCAGGGTGAAGGTCGGATATCGGAGACTGACAAAGATAACTGAGGGTTTGATCAAACCAAATCTGCATGGAACTGTTGAACAGGCCGCTTTCTATTAGGCTAACTGAGAGGGGTTCCCAAATATACAGGTGTCCAAAGAACGTTCAAAGAAGTCGACAAGTGGGTGCCGCCGACTCTTTTCCCCACAGTTGCGCAGCCCCATCTCGCACTTCCAGCCGTGCACAAGTTGAACTAGCTGAGCTACAAAACTGTGCTGCGAACATCTTGCACAGTAGACCTCTTGCCTACCAACTGCCACTTTTCCAGCCATCTGGATAGTCTTTTCAAAGAGATCAAACGTTGAAACCCAACATGATGGTGAAACGACCTTCGCCAAGTTCTTCGCCTACAGAACTCCAGCGCTTCCAATTCGGATCTATCACATCCTCCTCTTTTGGGCAAAAGCATAGGTATTGCAAAAGTTTTCGTTTCGACCAGAACCAGATATGTTCTGTTTGAATCGTGATTGCCCTTTTAAATATGAGGGTCAGTTTCGGTAGAAACTTTACGAACAGGCTAATATTTATGAAGGGTTGGAATTCCTTTCAGTCTTCACGTAAGACAACTATTCCTTGACTGCAGCGAATACGACATGTCTTGGAGGGGTTTTGAAGGGGCATGGGTGTGCTCAGTGGTACGCCAGCGAATTCGTCAAGAAAAGCGCAGAAACGGGACCCGCTAGATATTCATTATGGACGGGTAATGGGTTAGGCAGCGATGTATGAACGGGTCCTCCGAAACGCGTTTGGTCACATTGCAGGAACTGTTCTAATCGACTTGTGTGTGGAGCGCTTCAGGGGTGTGGTGATTTTCAAGTACTGCTGAGAAACCAGCGAGCCTTCCGCCGTCATAGCGCTAACTCCCGGTTCCTTAGCAGCCAAGTTACTGTTTCGTTTAACGCATATGCTTCCCGATGCGCTCCTTCTTTATCGAAACGTCCCTCCAAACGATTTCAGAATATGTTGATCGGCTTTGTGAATGTTGATGCATGGCCAACGTGCACAAAGCACACTTGTTTTCAACAAAGAAATGCTCAGAGTAGGAAGGGAGTATATGCGTTAGCTGAGGGCAAGTGCCAAAGCCATCTGCGATGAACTTCCCTTTTTGGACTGCGCCTCGCATTCGAATTCCATTCAGAATCGCACTAGCGTTTGAATCTCCTATCCTTTTAATTACAAAAAAACTTCTATGGACTAAACGATACACTGTTTAGATTGTTCCTTCTCTTTTTGTCAGACCACATGTAATTGACAACCAGTAACCTCGGGTTTATGGTTCAGTTGGCCAAGACTGCGTTCCGGTAGAAGATTATTGCCAGTATATCTGCTTTGAGGGCGGAAGTGGTGTAGTGGCAAGTGGCACGCTCACCACGCGAGCGGTCCGGGGATCAAATCCTGGGTCGTGAGTCGCCCGGGCCAACCAAGCCTTCCATCCCTCCGGGGTCGGTTAATTGGTACCAGACTTGTCTGGGAGGATAAAAACACTGACTTGAACATCGGCTGGCCCCCGCAAGTCATTGTATAGGCCACATCGCATTCAAACGCCACTGCGAATGTACAAATGGAAGTAGAATGCGTGCCGCATCCCAAAAAGGGATTGATCAACGGCAAATGCTTTATCCTTTATATCTTCTTTGCCCAAATGCATTTTCATCGGGGGCCGTCAAGGCGCGACTCCCAAAAATTTGCAATTTGTTTTCGGCGAGGCGGCACGGACCGGTTAGATAATTGATACATGTATATAGAAGCATGTTTTCATTACAGAAGAAGGAAGTCATTTCACGACTGGCTTATGCTTTGAAGGAAAGTGCTTTAGAAGGAATCCGTTCCCTTGCGTAGGTGGTGTTTTTTTTTATTCACGGCAGTCACACATATTCACTACTTATTGTGCAGCGCAGACTGTCCAAAAAGTGGGGGGGGGGGGGGTGAGTACCTCATTTCACAGAGGTGTTGATAATTGAGTTGAGATTAGCGCCAAGAGATCGCACTTCTATTCTAAAAAAGCTGGACCAACCAATGGTGCAGCTATTTCTCCAAATAGATTTCTGTTTGGAGAAAAACGGAGAAGCTCGACAGCCTCTTTGAATGGAGCACACAGATCTCAAATGAAGCCACTGCTGGAAACTCGCAACCTTTCATGGCCAGAGAGAATCAAATCACGGCAGGAAAAATATGCCTCAATTTAAAGGCAAGATTCAGGATTAAATTGATTAAGTAATTCCACTCAAATGTGAAAGTAGGAGTAGGAGGTGGGCCACCAATGGAGAAAAAAAGGAAAAAAAATGTGAAATGCACAGGAATTACGAGCCTTTTTGCTCTACGCTGCGGAGAAGTTCAAAAGCCGGCAGGGAGATGAGAGATAATGTGAGCGCGGAGAGCGCCTAGAGAAGTAGAGTCACGTAGGAGCACCAAGTTAGCGACGCAGACAAGATATCGAGCGGTGGGCGGAGCGTGTCGCAACGGGTGGAGCGTGTCAAAGTTCTTAGCGCCTAGCGTCTAAGTAACGCTTTTCGAAGTAGGGAAGTGAAGCGACCTCTGCGCACTTGCGTACCCTGCGCTTCTAGCCGCAGTAAAGCTCATTAGGTGGGTCTGAACGCGAACTTGCTTTAAACAACAAACAGCTTTCGCATAATATAATGGAAAGAATAGAATAATTTCTTACGAAAAGGTTCCATGGTTCAATGAATAGACTTATTCTATGCTGTGCACTAGGTTCTACGCCGGCCAAATTGATTGGATTTTTATATAATTCCTCTGTATGCCTAAGAACATTTGAACTTTCAGAGCGATGTTGATTTATGGGCAAAAGAGCCATAACTCTTTGGAGTCACGCCATGGCATCGCCTCAAACACGAATAGGAATCGCCGGTCGTACTTTCCGTGCAGTTGTCAATTACTCTACCAGAGCACCGCTTCACCTTACCACAGTTTCAATATGTAGTATATTTATCAGAGCCTAAAGGAATCCCTTACGGGAAAACATGAAAAGGAGGAAAAAAATTGTGTTCTTCGGTTAAATAAATGGAATTGTTGCTACAAAAATTCCGACCGTGGACACAAATTTTGACAGCGGGACGCTTCCATTTTTTTTCTCGCGGAATCTTTTTGGCCCCTCCACACCTATACCTCTATTGGATTGCAATTTATCGCTTTGAAAGGTTTCGCCCTTACCTCCTACTAACTGTGAAACTTGGATTTACTCCTTCCTACAGAAACATCACTTGATGCTTGATCACTCTTCCACTTTATTCGTACCAAGCACCACTTGGCTCCACCCGGTCCGTGCCCATGAAGTGTGATTTCCGAAAGCTTGGTTCATTGTGAGAACTGAATTTTCATGCATAGAACTTTGTAAGCAAAGTACGTGCAAAAGGTATGTAGTTATCATTTAAGAGGTATTCATCCTGGAAAACTCTCCAAAAAGTTTCTGTGCACCATTCTTTCAAGCTAAATGACGTAATATGCAGCACAACTGCCCACCAGGTGAAATGTTCTGCCCATAACTCGGCAGTCTTGCTTAACTTGCGCATCACGCTAGGAATAACAGTAGTAACAAGACCATAGAAGTTTGAAAACTGTAACACTTAGGGTGATAAAGAAATCATGCGGCATTGCGGAAGAAACGTTCTATCTGCAAGCAGAATGGTGTCATAGATGAATCTCCAAAAACATGCGCTCTTGCCCATGGATTTCAAGCAATGGGATTCTGTAATGAGAGAACTAGAGGAAGGGAGAGTTCATTACTCTCGTGTAAATGAGAAGTCATCAATTTTAGACACATACTAG